CCCGGACATGTCCGGGAAAATTCCGGACATATGGTAACCCTAATTCCTTGCATGGTCTCTGAGCCCTGGGGCTGCTGTTGGGGACCCCTGAGCCCTGGCTGCAGCCAGGAGAGGTGAATGTTGAGCAGTAACATTCCTGCTGCTCCCCAGAGACTCTCCCAGTGCAGAGACCTCAGCCTAGCTAGGGTATCCCTTCCCTGGACTCAGACCTCCCCTCACCCCACCCTGGGAGCAGTGCCTCCCAATTCCACCCTGGCTGCAAGGGGAGGGTTTGGCCCCAGGCTGCTCTGAGCTGGGCTGGATGTGATTCCCTGTCCTGTGCCCAGGAAAGCTGCTGCCAGCTCCCATTCTTTGCCGGGTGTGTGAAGCCAGCCTGCACTGTGCTGAGGACTGGGATAGTGACATGTGGGGCGACAGAGAAGGGAGAGCGTGCTGCGGCATGGGAGGGCCGTGCACCTTGCTCCTTCTGCGCACACATGGGTTTGCTTGCATGCCCCTCGCCGTCTCAGCTGTACCTGCAGACATGCATTGCGCTCCTCTGCAAACAGTCGGTGTGCTCTTGTACATGCCTGTCTGCCTCCCTGTCATCTGAGTGTTACTCATTACTTGCTATGAGATCAGTGCACTAATGGCTTGGACAGCGAGGTGCAGCATTTGTGCACTGTTACCCTTCATGTGCCATTTAAAACAAGAAACCAATAATATTCCTTTCTAACACAGTTTTACTGCCCCCCTACTCCCCTCATGTCTATTAGGAGGGTGGCTTTAGTGGGTTAGGTGAAGGAGGAGACTCTAACTGAAGAGATTACTCCTAGGGATCAGTTTTGCTGATGATCCTTTAATTTCCTCCACCAAACCCCCTTGCTCTGAATCTAAACAAAAAGTTGCTGCTGCTTTTGAAAGTGGTATTCTTGAGCCTTCTCCATTTATGGGGCTTATATTGCACTCTGTGCTCTGAAGCAGGGCAGCCCTGTGTACCTCTTGCAGGGACAAGCTGCATATCAGCTATTCAGGGGTGTGTGCAAAAGGGGATTTGGGGAAACAGGAATGTGTGAAGGGGCTGGAGGCAGGGGAAGGGAGATGCAGGGGGCGGGGGCAATGGGTGTGCTGCATAGAGGATGGGGCAATACAGGGGAATCGGGGCAAAGGGAGAATTGTGGAACTCTGGTGGGAGGAGGGATGGGGGCGCAAGCACAGACAGGGAAGAAGAGGAAGGATGCAATGAATAGGGAGGGGGTGGGGCCTGAGGCAGAGTGGGAGTGGAATGTGGGCAGGACCATGAGTGGAAGAGGCGGGTTTATACACCAATGCAAGAAGCCTAGGTAACAAAATGGTAACAAAATGGAGGAATTGGAGCTCCTGGTCCGAGAAATGAAACCGGATATCGTAGGAATAACTGAAACGTGGTGGAATGGCAGTCATGACTAGAGTACAGGTATGGAAGGGTATGTGCTGTTTAGGAACGACCGGAACAAAGGTAAAGGTGGGGGGGTGGCATTGTATGTCAATAATGAGGTAAGCTGGAAACAAATAATAACTGATGGAATGGATAAGACGGAGTCCGTCTGGGCAATACTCACACTGGGTAAAAGAACTACTAGAGCCTCCCCTGGGATAGTGCTTGGGGTGTGCTATAGACTGCCGGGATCTACCCAGGAGATGGATAAAGAACTATTTACTGTGTTTAGGGAAGTAAATCCTAATAGGAACTGTGTAATTATGGGGGACTTTAACTTCCCAGATATAGATTGGGGAACAAATGCTAGTAGCAATAATAGGGCTCAGATGTTCCTAGATGTACTTGCTGATCAATTCCTTCATCAAGTAGTAGCTGAACAGACGAGGGGGGAGGCCATTTTGGATTTGGTTTTGGTGAGTAGTGAGGACCTCATTGAGGAAATGGTTGTAGGGGACCACCTTGGCTCCAGTGATCACGAGCTAATTCGTTTTAAACTAAATGGAAGGATTAACTGAATTAAATCAAAGACTAGGGTTTACAATTTTAAAAAGGCTAATTTTAATAAATTAAGAGGACTGGTAAGGGAAGTGGATTGGGCAAACATAATAATGGATCTAAAGGCAGAAGATGCCTGGGATTATTTTAAGTTAAAGCTGCAGGAGCTGTCGGAGGCCTGTATCCCAAAAAAGGGAAAACGGTTAGTAAGCAAGAGATTTAGACCGAGCTGGATGAGCGACCGTCTCAAAGGGGCGATTAGGAAAAAACAGAAAGCGTACAAAGAGTGGAAGAGGGGAGGGATCAGTAAGGAAATTTACCTTATTGAGGTCAGAGCATGTAGAGATGGAGTGAGAAAGGCCAAAAGCCGTGTAGAGTTGGACCTTGCGAGGGGAATTAAAAGCAATAGTAAGAGGTTTTATAGTCATATAAATAGGAAGAAAGCAAAGAAAGAAGAAGTGGGACCGCTGAAGACTGTAGCTGGAGTGGAGATTAAGGATAATCTAGGCATGGCACAATATCTAAACGAATATTTTGCATCGGTGCTCAATGAGGCCAATGAAGGGATTAGGAATATTGGCAGCGTGACAGAGGGGGATACAGGAGGGGGGATTACCATATCCGAGGTAGAAACCAAACTTGAACACCTTAACGGGACTAAGTCGGGCGGACCGGATGATCTTCATCCAAGAATATTGAAGGAACTGGCACGAGAAATAGCAGGCCCCTTAGCGATAATTTTTAATGAATCTTTAAACTCGGGGGTGGTACTGTTGGACTGGAGAATAGCTAATGTGGTTCCTATTTTCAAGAAAGGGAAAAAAAGTGACCCGGGTAACTACAGGCCTGCCAGTTTAACATCTGTAGTGTGCAAGGTTCTGGAGAAAATTCTGAAGGAGAAAGTAGTTAAGGACCTTGAGGTCAATGGCAATTGCGACAAATTACAACATGGTTTTACCAAGGGCAGATCGTGCCAAACCAATCTGATCTCCTTCTTTGAGAAAGTAACAGACTTATTAGATAAGGGAAATGCGGTGGACCTAATATACCTTGATTTCAGTAAAGCGTTTGATACTGTACCGTACGAGCAATTATTGGTTAAATTGGAAAAGATGGGGATCGATATGAAAATCCAGAGGTGGATAAGGAACTGGTTAATGGGGAGACTGCAGCGGGTCGTACTGAAGGGGGAACTGTCAGGTTGGAGGGAGGTCACCAGTGGAGTTCCTCAAGGTTCGGTTTTGG